TCTGGGCCCGGCCTCCACAGTTGGCCTCCCCTCCCTTCCCGGCCCTGGACAATGTGTGTTTTCCTGCAGAAGCCAACCTCTCCCCAGGAGCTGCATCTGGGCCTGGCCTCCACAGTTGGCCTCCCCTCCCTTCCCGGCCCTGAGCACTGTGCATTATCCTGCAGAACCCAACTTCCTCCCGAGGAGCTGTGTTTGGGCCCAGCCTCTGTAGTTGTCAGGCCTTTCAGATCTGCCTACACCCCCGTTTCTGACCTCTTTTGGTCCCAATTTTCCAAAACACAAACATGTAAAAGCAACATACTGTAGGCTACCAATGTTCTGAGCAAGTTCAACTCTATAATGGAAGAACCTAAGTGGCACAGTGTGATGGGAAACGTGTGGTTTTGAGTCATACACGTTGCTTATTAAACTGCATCTCCCAACAATCCCAGTTTCCACACGAGGCGCCATACACCCCTCCCCACGACAGCCTTACCAGAGTTTCCATGTGGTGACTGGCCCTTTGAGGGCTTATAAACACACCCAGGACACACAGCTGGTCACCGACAGCTGTGCCATTGAACTCCAGATGTGTCTCTCTGCCTCGGGACTTTCTTTCAGTGTAAGCATTATCTCTCAGCATTGACTCTGTAGATGAAGTGAACGTTTTGCTAAATAATGCATCACCCTGGTATGGTGCTTTGAGTTTTATAAAGTGAATAACTCTGCAAGGTGAGTGTAATTATCTCTGTTTTACAAGAGAGAAAAGTAAGGCTCGGTGAAATTAAGTGGCTTGCACTTAAGTATAAATGCACAGCCAGTACTCTTTAAAAATTCATGTGTATACAAGACATATATCCATGATCAAGGACCTGTTAGGTGGGGTACACTTGTGTCCCTCACTCTGCTCAGGGTAGGCGCTACTGGAACAGAGATCACCAAAGGAGAAATGTAGCCGACATTTCTTTTAGTACACGTCCAGCTTTCCACCAGGTTACTTGGGTTTATGAAGACTACGTGTGTAACACTTGGCTTTCTACTTGATGATACGGAGGACATTCACATGTGAACATGTCAAAGTAAAATTCTGTCTCTGCATATCTGCATATGGAATTCTGTCTCTGCATAGCTGCATATGGAATTCTGTCTCTGCATAGCTGCATATGGAATTCTGTCTCTGCATAGCTGCATATGGA